GCTAGTAGCTTTAAAAATAGTTATAACAGCTTTATTTTAATAAATTAAGACATTATTAAAAATTATAACTATAAGCTAGGTCTTATAAGTTACTTAAAGTGTAAAAAAAAGTACTACTTAATTTAATTAATAAACTTTTTATAGTTAAAATAACTTTTTTTATTTCTATATAAAGCAGGTAACTGTTTAACGTACTTCACGGGCGAGTTGCTTACACACCCAAGTCGCTTACTTTTGCTAAGACCCTACCCTAATAAACTCTATTATAGCCTATAACAACCTGCTCTAGCACTATATAGTACAGTACAGCCTAGAATATTATTTAGATACTACTTCTACTTCTTGCTTACACATTTATGTGTTATGCCTAGTCTAATTGCACTATCTACAGCGCCTTTAGAATAGCTTACCTACTTTAGCGTACACCTGCTTCTTTACCTTTTTTTTATTACTGCGCGCTTTAAACTCTTTTAGAGCTGTTAAGTGTAGGCTTTTTTAAATTATTAAAGTTTTTTCTGCCTTAATCTGCTTTTTTTATGTAATTTATGTTATATAGTAGCCTTATTAGCTGCTTAAAGCTTAGTAATTTTCTATTATACTAACACTAGCTTATATATAATTATTACTGCCCTTTTTAAAACTTTTTTAAACACCTTAACTATAAAAGTTAGTAAACTATTTATATACTTCTAAATTTTTATTTTTATAAGCATTAATTATAACCTAAGTTTTAAAGTATTACTTAGGGTTTATAACTACTAAAGCTTATTATATATAAGTAGTAGTAGTAATAAAGTGCGCAACTTTATATTAAGACTTATTATAACTTATTATAAGTTAAAAGAAACTAATCTAGCGCTTTAAAACTTTTCTTAAATATTACTAAAAGTAATTATAGCATTATAAGCTACTTTAAAGCATAGTAAAAACTTTATTTTTATAATATAAGTAATTTAGTTATGTAGTTATAAGGTTTTTAGCTTAGCACTTATACACTTTTTTTAAAGAAGTAAAACAACCTACATGTAAGAACAGAGCTCTGTACCACTACGCTAATACAACTAAAAAGGTGCGAATAATTAACTAACGTTAATTATTGCGTACAGAATAGTATATATACCTGTCGCACGTAAGCACCATCTCAGCCTTACACGTAAGCGCTATCCTAGCCTTACATTATCCCCCTTCTTAGCAGACGCATGTCCCAGGCGTCACATGACCTACCCGCAGCTCAGAGGCGCCTATGCGCATGTCTCGGTTACCGGCCAGAGGCTGACCACCTGCGGCCCAGAGGCGCGAGATAAACACGACGCAACGCTCAGTGACCACGCCAGCTAAGCCATACACACTAGACCTCCTAGCAGCTACAACGTGGCGCTAGAAGAGGCCGCCTTACGTTTTAGTCTAACAACTAGCAAAGCTGTCTAAGGTGTGGGTTAAACGCGCAACTGTCCTTATTGTTAGTTAATTATTATGTAAGAATAGAGCTCTATACTACTACGCTAATATAACTAAAAAGGTGTAAATAATTAACTAACGTTAATTATTGCGTACAGAATAGTATATATACCTGTCGCACGTAAGCACCATCTCGGCCTTACACGTAAGCGCTATCCTGGCCTTACACTACATTAAGTAGCTATAAAAAGTGTAATAAGTAAAAAAGTATATAAATAGTAATAATTTTATTATTTTTATAGTATTACTAAAAATAAAGTAAGTTATAGCTTTTATAGCTATTAATAACTAGTAAATAGTAGCTGCTAATAGTATACTTCTTTATATGCGCGTTAAAGTGCTTTAACTAGTCTAGACTAAGCTAATTAGTAGTCTAGCTGTGCTTAGAGATTATATAACTTAATTTTAAAGTAGATTTTTTTTATACTAGTTTAAAAAGTAGTTACTACTTTAAAAGATAATAAAAAGTAAAATAGCCTACTTTTTAGCATTAATGCTTTAGATAGCTGTTATCTACTTCTAGTTACCTAGCTAGACTGCTTTTAGCTATTTTTATCTCTCTAAATTTATAATAACTGCTCTAGTAGATATTTTACCTATTATAAACCTTATTTTATTAAAGTTATACATGTTATTATTTTAGATGCTATACTTAGCTTTAATATTTTTTATAAAGTTAAACTAGCTTTAAATTACTATAAAATTTTTATAAAAAGCTTTTTTATAGTTATACTTATACTTAAACTTTACTTTAAGCTTTAAGTAACACTTAATAAACATATTAAGCTAGTTTATGCTAATATAGCCTATATTATACTTAGCGTGTAAAGAATTAGCTATATTAGCTATAGCTGCTAGCTAGAGAGGAAATCCTTATATATTTAGCTTAAGTATGTGCTAAATAATTACCTACTTTTTATTATTATCTAGCTTTTATAAGTTAGCTATATAATTAGCTTAAAAAGGTTATTTAGTGTGTTAGTTACTTATTATTTTTTAAAAAACCTTATAAATAGCTGTAGTGTGTTACTTAAAAAGTATTATGTTTTATTTAAAAGCCTAAAGTATAAGCTACATCTAATATTTCTTTAACACATCTAAGTAGTGTTATTAGAAATGCATTAGTGTAAAAAAAGTAGTGTAGTAAGGTTTTAGTAAAAGTAAGTAACTTAGGTGTGTAAGCAACTCGCCTGTGAAGTACGTTACTATATAGGCTAAAAGAATAGCCTATGTTTTCCTACACTGTATATTCTAGGTATATTAACTTTTATAGCTTATAGGCTTATAAGCCTTATACTACTAGCTAGTCTTTTTTATTAAAAATTAACTTATTAAAAAACACTAAATTATCTTATGTAAAATAATAAAAAGATTAATAATAAAGCTCTTAAAGCTCTTTATTATAGCTAAGTAAAAAAAAGCTATAATGTACACTTACTTTATTTATAATCTTTAAGGTAACAAAAAATAGTAGATTAAAAGATATATACACCTTACTTTATTTATAACTAATATAACGTACTTTATAGGCAAGTTGCTCACACACCTAAGTTACTTATTTTGCTAAAACCCTACTAAACTACTCTTCCTACACTAATGCATTCTCTATAACACTACTTAGACGCACTAAAAGAATGTTAGATACAGCTTACACTCTAAGCTTTTAAACAAGACATAAAACTCTTAAAGAAATATGCTATAGCTATATATAAAGTTTTATAAAAGATAATAAATAACTATAGTGCTAAATAACCTTTATAAGCTAATTCTACAGCTAAATTATAAAGGCTAAGTAATAAAAAGAAGCAGGTAATTATTAAGACTATACTTAAGCTATATGCGCAAGAAATTTCCTCTTAAATAGCATTTATAGCTAATATAGCTAATTCTTTGCGCACTAAGCATAATCTAGGCTATGTTTACATAAACTAGCCTAGTATGTTTATAAAGTGTTATTTAGAGCTTAAAGTAAAGTTTTAAGTATAAGTATAGTTAAAAAATATTTAGCTAATTATAAACTCTATTTTACTAAAGTTATACATGTTATTATTCTAGATGCTATACTTAGCTTTAATATTCTCTATAAGGCTAAACCTACTCTAAATTACTTTAAAACTCTTATAAAAAGCTTTTTTATAGTTATACTTACACTTAAATGTTACTTTAAGCTCTAAATAACACTTTATAAATGTACTAAGCTAGTTTATGTAAACATAGCCTAGATTATGCTTAGCGCGCAAAAAATTAGCTATATTAGCTATAAATGCTATCTAAGAGGAAATTTCTTATGCATATAGCTTAAGTATAGTCTTAATAATTACCTGCTTCTTTTTATTACCTAGCCTTTATAATTTAGCTGTAGAATTAGCTTATAAAGGTTGTCTAGCGCTATAGTTATTTATTATCTTTTATAAAACTTTATACATAGCTATAGCATATTTTTTTAAGAGTTTTATGTCTTATTTAAAAGCTTAGAGTGTAAGCTATATCTAATATTCTTTTAGCGCGTTGAAGTAGTGTTATAGAGAATGCATTAGTATAGAAAGGGTAGTTTAGTAGGGTCTTAGCAAAAGTAAGCAACTTAGGTGTGTGAGCAACTCGCCTGTAAAGTACGTTACTTGTTTATTCTAGTATCTTTATTTACTATAGACTAATTTCTTAAATAGAGCTTTTTTATTTTTATTACTAATCTTAGTAGGTCTTCTAAGCTTTATAGTTAGTAGTTTACAGACGCTACTATAGTTTTTTAAGTTATTCTCTACATTTTAAACTGCATAAAGAAAGTAGCCTTTATAGTTAGTAATAGTAATTCTAGACTACCTAAGTAAAAGAAACTAATAAATGTTTATATAAATGTAATTATTAAGCTCTTAACTACTTAGTTTAATATACTAGGGTTGTTAGAGCTAACAAGGAAGGCTAGAGATGCTATAGGCGCGATACATTATAACCTAACACGTTGTTACTCTTAAAAAAGTTAGTATACACACTTCTTTATATAAAATAAAAGCTTTAACTTACCTAAGGTAGTTCTATTAGGTTTTTATTAATATATAGTAGATCTTGTTAAAATTTTAATCTCTTATATAATTTTAGTAGGGGAAAAAAATTCCTGAGGGCAGTGCCAAGAAAGGCCCCGATTTTTGCATATAATAGATGCGTCATTGGACTGTCCGTCAGTGGCTGTGCTACAACACGCCTCCGCGTCTCGAGTGTTGATGGGCTGCCTCACATTTTCGACAGCACTAGGCGTCAATCAGGCGCAGGAATATTTACTACCGGTCAGCGATGCTCGCAGCTAGTTTTGCGCCGACTGGCTTTACAATATTTTGCTGAGTAGGCCAGACTGGACGGCCAGCCACAAGGACGCCGTAACGCTACCGTAAAAGCGTCTTGTACCCTCTAATGTTATATTTGTTTTCCCAAAGCTCAAATACCCCACTTTCGTTCAAAGATTGTTCAATCAACCTGATTCCTCCAAGCATAACTGTATTATGGCTGAATCACCGACCGAGCCTATATCTCCTACCTCTAAAGACAATATGGAGAGGTTTCGCAAATGCTGGATAGCTAGTACTGCCGACAATAATCTTACGCTCCACGGCTTCCGTCGTTTCAAAACTACGCATCTATTAAACCTCCGCCTCCTCGAACATGAGATCGCCAACATGGATCATACCATTTACCAGGTCGGCCTGAGCCAGGGCCTAAGCCCTTCGCCCACTGACCGATTGGGCCTCAATCATGTTAAGAGGGACACAGAGGTACCAAATATCAACGATAGTATAAATCAAAGCTTTATCCTAAAACTGCGTGACCTTCTTAGACAATATGGTGTGGAGCGATATCTACGCTTGGAGTGCCCAAGCTGACAAAAACTCAACAGATGAAGCACTCGCAGCCTTCAACAACATTATGACAATGGAGACATTCTCATTAATCGATGACGAGAAGCTGTCCAGCATGCACGGTGACCTCAGTCTGTACGAAGTGTACAAGACTAGGTTGCTCAGGGTGGACCTGGGGACGCGATCCAGGACGGACCCATTCCAGCGCTGGTTTCACAGATACCTGCGAGAATTTCGGTACTGGAAACTGTCGAGAAAGTCACAGAGCAATGACGAAGGTCTCGGGTCGTTTTCTGGACACCACCGCTGGTCCTATCAGAACACGATATTGATAGCTGAGGTTATCGGACGTGTAACGACTGCAGCGTTGACGGCTGTTTTTCTAGTAACTCCCTTAGCTATCTTGTCACACGAGTCTTCAAAAAATGTCCAGCTTATTGTTGTCTCGGTTTGCATTCTCATTCTATCATTTCTCGTGTCGCTCTTTTTGAAGGTATCCAGCTTTGAGATGATGGCGGTATCCGCTGCTTATGCGGCGGTTCTGTCGGTATTTGTTTCCAACGCTCCAGCAAAGTTCTAAGTTGGAATTATATGATTGGGGACTGTGAGGTGTTAGAAAAGATAGAGCATCGAATATATTGGTAGGCTAGGATAGGTACTAGAGAATCAACGCGATACAATTCTAACTGGAGCAAAGAATCCTCATGGAAAAGCATGGCTGAGGTATTGACAAATACCGGCGAGCCTAGTGTACAGCACGGGCTTTTATATTGGCGGTGCATAATCAAGTGCCCGTACCTATCTCCGCTCATGGTCACGTACGCGTCTAATCACTTACCGAACCATCAAGCTAAAAACACACCCCAAAGGTCGAATACTGGTGATACCACGCCGAAAAGGTAAAATGCCTGACTGGAGAAGTCGGCCCTTGATAAGGTGCGGCATGGTTTAGAGAAGTGGTGGCGGTAGGCCCTTCAGGACACATTACAGTGGTTCTTTCTAAGATCTGTGACTGAAATACATGAACAATGGTTAAGCTTATCCCCAATAGTGTTTTAAGGTTATGGTGGAATGGCAGCCCTAACAGGGAGGGCGGCAGATCCGCACCGTTCACACTCTTGCGTAAGAGGCGTAGTGATGAGAGGCGTTAAATGCTGGCTGAACCGTTGATGTTCCCGCTGTAAGGGGCTGGGGCTGAACAACGTGCCTGAGCCCCGATGGCCACCTCAACTCCTGAAGGTGCTCCATCAACACCGCCTCCGGCACGAGAAGACGCACGAGGAAGCCGAGCGCGAAGGAGCATGAGGCCCAGCAGATACTGTAAACTCTGACAAACAGCGCTACTGGCGATACAGACCATAATCGGAGCCACCAGAGCGCAGTTATCGCAGAACGAAAGGCCCGCAGACGCAGAGAGTGAGCTGCGACCGTTCCACCGAACGCGTATTCGTCTCACCCGAGCGAGAATCTATCTCACCCGAGCAGGAGAAGGTAGTGGCAGCGGTAGTAGGCAGACAATGTGGTGATGCTCATCGCGAGCCTGAACGAAACTGTAGCACAGCAGAACAGCAATTTCTCAACGGGAAAAATGCAGATCTCCAAGATACAATTAGATCTCTACGGTCACAGCTTGACACCCTCTCCGTGTTTCCCCGTGCCCAGACATCGGCATCGGTTGTGGCCAGTCGTGGCCTGGAAGGGTCGGATACGACGCTATCGGGAACACGAGGCCAGGCCGAGGATATATTCATTATATATAGGGGGCCTATGGCCTACAATCAATCAATAACTTCTCCCACTCACGCTCACCCATATCTTCCTACACATCACCGTTGGCGTGCTGCTAATGGAACGGAGTAAACATCGATAAGCTGACGAGGAAGCTTGAATAAAGTGGTCTGTGGAAGGAGATTGTCGTGGAAGGAAGTACAGGAGCGCATTTTCTCACGTAAGCCTATCCCTAGCTTAGGTTCCTTAAAAAGCTTATAGTGATAGGTTCGCGGCGTTATCCATTCGACCAGTGTTATTCGCGAGACTCCTAATGTCCCGTATGCCTATCTCCTGTGAACCCGCTATCCTAGCCGAATAACGAGCTCCCACCACCCGTTGAACTAGGGCCACAGGCCACAAGATCACTTGAATAGTCTTGAATAGTTTGAGAGGGGAATATGGCATCTCCAGTAAGCCATCCGATGCATTTGAAGCTTTTAGTCTAGAGAAGTTCTAGACCGCCATGAATTAGCATACATTATTGTGGACTCCATAACTGAACAACAATAGCCTTCAACTTAGGTCCAGTCTGCTGTAGAGACAACAATGTGATTGGCAAATGGTTCGGTATGCTTCCTAAATTCTAAGGCTGGACCACTGGAACTGGGCCTCGAGAACGTGTCGGACACGCTGAAAGATTAGATTGAGATCAAGTTTAGACCTCATCTATTCACATAACGAACGAGCAATGCGTCTACTTTTATGGTCACATTCTGTCTCGTGATATTAACACTTCCTTTCCCCATAGTTAACATCCTTTCGCATCTTGTTCCTCCCTTCGAACTTCAAAGGACTACCCTCAGCTCTTTGCTCTAGGCCAATGATAATCGTTGCTTGACATCTCCTGCTGTCCACAGAGATTCAAGTTCGTGCAGTACCCCACATGAAGCCCCTCAATGCATGTACGAGAAAGCGAATCCCACTGAGTTCTGAGGCGAATAATAGAGGTTCTGAGTGTTTAGGCGATATCCCGTTGTATCCTCACTGGTCGCCATTTCTTGCTTCTATGATTGCTTGACCTAGTCCAAGTCGTTGCGTCTGGAGTGATTCGCTAAACCCTAGGGTGGTTGTGCTGTGCAACTCTTTGATTAGCTAAGTTGGAGTCTTCAATTCGATGGGACAACCCTGAGCACGAAGAAGCTCGTTCTTGGTCTAGAAACTGAATTTCGGATTGAGTGAAGATTTCAAAATCCAAGTTATTAGGTAACCTATTGATAGCGGAGTAGATTCTTTAGTCTTCGGAAAGCTACGAATTGTAGGCATTCCGGATAAATGTGGGTGTTTTCCGTCTTTGTTCCCTCTCCCCAGTTAGCGAAAATCGATAATTAGATATAAGTAGAACGCGTAATCGCTTCCATCGACAATAGTATACTGGCCCTAGATTTTTGCGGACTCATCGCTCTGGGAAATTGAAAAGCCAATGGTTTCTCGATGAAGCTCGCTCTCTCAGCCCACAAACCGGAAGAGCTATATTAAAACCACGTAGCGGAACAGTCTTGCTGTGGGAATTTTGTCGATTAGCGATGTCAAGTGCAGATGATCCGCATTTTACTTCGCTCGTAAGAAATGTGAAGTACATATTAGACGTGGTCTCTTGGATAATTCCCACCTGTCTTATTTACTACCTAGTCATCTAGTATCTCAGTGGAAGGGACGACAAGTTGTGGAATATTGTGGGCCGTCTTAATACCATTCCCATCCCCAATCCCTGGACAAGGAGTCTTGAATAGACTATCAACTAAGAACAGGGCATGATTAGTCCGCTTCTGTGTGTTTCAGGAGCTTCTGGCAAGGCCGATCCCTTGGAGGACTAATGCCTTCTTCCGAATCATCCATAACATTGCCGCGTTCTTAAAGCTGATCTTCATGTCGCGGATGTTTTTATGGAGCACTCTTCCTTTCCAGCCGTTTTTGGTCGCTTGGTATTCTTGTTTCCAGCTACTCAGATCTGTACCTTCTTTGGACCAACAGGAAGTGGTCCTAGCGTACACCGCAAATGCAGAATGAGAGGGGCTAGACCGTAGCTTTCGTTACGCCACAGAGCGCATTGGCCGTTTTATTGCTTGACAGTATTGGAATGCCTCTCGTGGCTGACATACCCGGGTTGTCCACGGTTATTTGCCTTGAGAATGGCTAGAATGGCTTGTGGCTTCGGTATGCTCAGAGTGAGTCCCGAGGTCTTCAACCCGCCTTCCCATGAAAAAGCAAAAAATGGGCGTGCCATGGAGACCATCCTGTAGCACCAGGCCGACGGCAAGATACAATCCAGGATAAAAAAATGTCTTCGGAAAAGGTCATTACATGTGCTAATACAAAACCGCTTGCAAGGGACCTAGAGGATGCTCGAAAAGTGAAGATTGATCGTGGATTGTTGCAAGAAAATATTGAAAGATTGCCAGGTGCGCAGACGGAGTTTCTCCACGGGAGGAGCGACGCGACCAAGGCGCTAGTAAGTATCACGTTACAACACCACAGCGCAGCACAGCCAGGGAGCCAGCATTGAGTACTTACCGCTCAAGTTTCTGGGCACAGTCCTTCGACTCCTCGTAGAGTGAAACTTGATTCTTGGTTAGTTTGAAGAAGAGCAGAAGTCAACTATTGCTCATGAGTGCTCCCTACCTAGCAGGGAGGGTGTGGATATATACCAGGTCCATTGACCTTAACCTCTTCCACCCATGTACTCAGGCTGAAAAGCCTTCACTCCCTTCTTCATCAGCTCCCTCAGCGCCATCGTAGCATACTGGCTAGAGCCCAGCTGGAGTTTCAAGATGACCGCTAACTTCTTCTCCCCCTCCTGCATGCCATCTCTGTGAGTCTTCGTCTGTTTCATCCAGTCAAGCTGAATACCCTGCTCCTTTACAACCCTCTGCAAATCCGTCTCGACAAACTGCTCATCCTCTTTTACATACTCCCTAACTTCAAACTCCAGCTCCTTAAGCGGTCTCGCTAGGAACTTCCGGTATCCACCACTCAGACTAATATCCCTCCATTTCCGGCGCATGTCGTACGGGTCGAGACCACCACCTTGTTCGCTCGCCATAAACTCCTTGTAGAAGCCGCCGATAGCATTTTTGGGGTACTCGACATCGAAGCCTGGTTGGGGCAGCACGATGTCGAAGATACTGTACTGCCCACTCTCAGCCTCTTCTTTGGACAATGGTCTCGCGCGCTCAAAGCGATCTTCATCCCTGATGGCACTGTCGGCGCCCGATGGGTTGATAACAACCTCACCATCCTGGTCGACTGTGTCGAGTTCCATTCTTGACTGATTAACTTCCTTATCCTTATGTTCGTGCACGAGGACAAGATCGCCTTCAACGACCTTGTCGCCAAATGTTGCCCACCGCTTTCCCGCAACGACGTTCCAGACAAGGCTTTGGTACGCATGAACGTACATAGTTAGAAGCCGCCTCTGGATAGTCCTCAGTGCACCCTGGTAGTCGGTCCGCCTATCATGTTGCCCACTTCCCTTGTTCCTTGAACTCAGATGCTGAATTATGCTTGACTCGGCGCTGAATCGCTTCGGCAGAATTCGGAGGGCATTGTTGCCGTCTTTGGTCGTTTTCCAGATATGTATAGCTTTTGCGCGTTCTTTATCGTCTTGCGAGATGAGGATTGCCGGGGTTGTCTCTTTGGCATCGTACGCTGTGACGGCACTCTCGCTGTAGACTAAGATGTCGTCGATTGCACCTTCAAAGTTGCCTCGAAGAAGCTTCTTGCCGACACTATCTGTTGTGGCGGCGAAGGAACCGAAGCGTTGGAGACCGAAGTAGTTGATGAATCCCTTTTCTGAAAAGTCTTGGACGGACTTCGAAATTACTCTATTGGCGAGATGCAATCGCTCTGCATCATCCAGCCCATCCTCGTTGTCGAAATGACAGTCCCGCAGGGTGATGATGAATTGGTTGCCGGCAAGATCGCCCAGATCGAGCTTCTGGTCCTGATGCTCAAAGTCGCCAATCGCCGAATTCCAGAGATTCCTTCCAAGCTGAGCAAACCTCTCGGCGGTTTGGCGTCTGACGCTAACTCGTTGCACGGAGCAAGCTCGTCGATCCTTCGTCCCAGCATAACCATAATTATTCATACCGCCCGTTTTGCTGGCCAAAAAGCCAATGACTTCCATGGTGTCTTTGTTCTCTTTGTATAAAGTAAAGTGCAGATATTCTCCCCCGAGCTCTTCCCAACCTACTTTACCACGGTGACGGTCTCTACCTCTATCCCTCTCTGGATTTTTGCCGCCCTTCTTCTTGCCACGTTCCTGGACTGGCCGAGGCCGAACCCTCATACGCTGGTCTTGATCCATACTCGACTCAAGCATGTAGGGAAATAATCGACGGAGGGTCTCGTGGATTACTGTGCGCTCATCCTTGTTGATGACAGGATCGCTAGAAACGACTGCATCGAAGTCGCGGCCTTTACGTTCAGGGTATTTCTTGATTTTGTAAACGAGGGATTCGATTTGAGCAGTGGTCACCTCGCCCAAGATGGTATGCAGCATCTTGAGGTCGTTTTCTGGGATCTTTATAGATATCAGCTTGGAAAAGATGTAGTCATACAGTAGAGCATACTGTGAAGAACTTCTCAACCCCATTTTTGTCCCGGCTCTGTTTCTCCCCGCAATTCTTATCTTCACCATTTTTCTCTTCGCCCATCTCCTCCACACCATTGTTTTCTTTGTCATACCCCTCGTCACCAATCTGCTCAACCTCCGCCTTTTCTACAATACTTAGTCGCTCCTTCACTCCCGCACCCTCATTCTCAGCACATCCCTTCTTAATCCCCTCCTTCCCTTTCACCTCTATCCCCAATCCCACACTCCTCAATTCCAAAACCCTTCCACTCGGCAAAATCTCATTTACTAAGAAATCCGTATACCGCTGCTTAAACACGCCCTTGAACCCCAAATTATCCGGACAGATATATTCCGTAATGCCTACCTTGACTTCTCTATCGATTTCGGCCTCGCTGGTGAGGTTAGAGATGGGCATTGCGAGGGTAGCGGGAGGAAAATTCGAATTGTCGAGACGTGGACGTTTGTGTGGGCGGGATTCGGGATCGGGATCTGGATCTGGGGGGTTTAAGGGGGAGGCCATTTAGGGAGGTTGGTAGCAGAATTGAAGGGATATTGAGTGCGGATGATGTGGTGAAGAGGGTAAGGGGAGGTTTGGGGGGCAGTTTCAGCGAGCTAAGCACGGACCTTTGGCGGCCTTAATTGAGCACATCCTGAGGCTTGTTGACGATGCTTAAAACCATTCTGGAATCAAGTGGAACATATCCTCCCTCTTTTGAACATCACGCGCAAATAAACGGGAGCTAGACAACATAAAATTCAAAATCTAATATTGGAATCAAAAAATTTATTTTTTAATACCAACACGCTAAAATCAACCCGCCTGTCCCATCGTTATCCCCGAAAGACGCCAGTATCAGGGTATATGATATGCTCTGCCTAATGCAATTGTTGCTTGTGATGTGATGTCTCTCGATGAGTTCCCCGTATGCGATCGATTTCTGTAGCCCTGACGTGGACACGAAGGGGGGTCGAAAGACATGGTTTGTTTGATAATGTAATGCAAAGGAAAGAACAAACAAAGGGGAAACAAAATATATATGCTATAATAGGGGCCCATGTTCCTGATTCAATTCTCGTGCGAAGTGAAAGTGAAAGGGGAGTTGTTGGGAAAGAAGTGAAAAGTCTATGAGGGTATGCTAAGATTGTGGGATTCTGTCAAGGAGGCTCCATTCAGTACGCGGAGGAACTGAAGTGGAAAAGGGGTAAGAAAGAAGGCAGCTTATGCTTGGGCGAAGATGGCTAGGGTAGCGCAGAAGTTGGAGCGGTTGTCTTTGTCCTTAGCGACTCCTTGGCCGTTCTGCGTGATCATATTGACGGAGGCTTTAGTGGAGATACCGAACATGTTGACGTTGGTGGAGTTGTCGACTTGGATGATGTTCTCCTGGCAGTTCTGGTTGGTGACGCAGACTTGGTCGTAGTTGCTGAAGAAGGAGTAGGTGCCGGATCCGTAGCCCCAGATGCTGCTGCTGTCAAGGACACGAACAGCCCAGGCAGACTTGCAGCCATCGGTAGTGCACTTGCTGAAGTCGGGGTCGAAGTACTTGGAGTTCGTCTTGAATGGAGCCGTAGCTGCTGGATTGGGTTGGTAGTAAGGTGTTTCGGTCTGAATTGCCCCATAGAAGACATCCTTAGCACCTTGGAACTGGTACTGGGAAAGTTGGGAATGCTCAGAAGCGGTACCCCACAGCCAGACAGGGCCCTGGGATTCAACAAGCATGCCGCGGCCATTGTAGATGTCGATTTGGCTATGGTCAGATTGATCAAGTTCGTGATCAGCAGTCCAGAGCCAGACATTTTCGAAGTAGCCATTGGAAGACTTCGTAACGTGTAGCTGCATGAAAGAACCAATACACTTGGGATCAGCTTCATGCTGGGCAGTCGGATTCTTCTTGCAGTTTGATGATTGAAGATCGGTGCCAGCAAAACCACCAACACGGAAGTGGGTGTCCCAGAGACCAGCAGTACCGGCCTTGTCGGCGGCAATGTTCCACTCCATGAGGATAGCGCCGGGAGCGGGTCCCTTTGTCGTGATTATGCAGTCACTCATTTCGAAGGTTCCCTTGTCACCGCTCTGCTTGCCGACTTGGAAGGCGGGCTTGGGGTCGTCCATGTTGCTGAAAAATTCACCAGTGGCCATGAACAGGGGCCAGATCTCGCCGACCATCTTGATGTTCTTCTCAGCGGGGATAGTAATTGTCTTCTGGATGAGGTAGGCGCCGTGGTCAGCGTAAAGGACCTGGCCTTCCTGGAAGCTATCGATCGCTTTCTGGATTGCGGCTGTATCATCAGTCTTGCCATCGCCTTTAGCACCAGCGGTCTTGAGGCTGACAAACGAACTGGGGGCGATGTTCTCATACTGAGGCTTGGCTCGCTCGAAAACACCATTCACTCCGTTCAAGCTCGGTGGAATCTCTGGTGCGCCGGAAGTGTCGCCTTGGACGCGACCTTGAGTACCACCAGCAGCCAGAGCATTGCCTTGAGCCCAGGAAGCGACCTTCTTCTTGCCAGCAAGAATTTGTTTGCCCGTGAAGTCCTGGACAGCAACGTTCGAGCCGGAGAAGTCGACATTCTGCAAAATAAGCGTGCCTCCAGTGGTGGGGATGCTGTTCTCTGAGAATGAAGTGTTGACACCAATAGGAGTGTTGGTAATGTGGCTATCCATCATGAGGACGGAGCCAACTGTCTGGTTTTGGGGTTGCTCAGCCATGTCAAGTCCAACTTTGCAATTGTTGATTGTCACAGATTTGAAGGTCCAGACCCAGTTCCAGTTCATGTAGATGGCGGTACCACAGTCATTGAAGGTCATGTTGCGGGTGGTGAATTGCTGGTTGCCCAAGAAAGCTCCAATGCCACCGCCGTTAAACGTAAGATCAGCCATGAATCCACCAGAGCCATTGTCCATGAAGATACCCTTCTGGTTCGCACCAGCAGCGCCCTTGGCCATGTTGAAAACAATATTTTGAAGGCTCGTAGCTTGACCAACTTGCCAATGGATACCAGAGACACCAGTTTCGACAGGAACAGCACTAACATCGATGATAAAGTTGCGGACTTGACGGTAAAAATTGTTCTGATTAGTGAACCAGTTGGCTCCATTACCTCCAACGATGTAGGGATCTGCGTCGATAAGTCCCATACCCTTGAAACTAGCAGAGGCTTTGAGAGTCGGCACCTGTACGGCATCGCCAACCATTGAGGTATAGTAGTATTGTAACAGGGGTTCGCTGACAACGTAGGTACCAGGAGGGAAGTAGACAATGGCGGGAGTTGTGGTGCTTGAGTCACAGCCCTGACCACAGCGGTTGCCATCAGAAATAGCCTTGTTGATAGCCGTTGTGTCATCGGTAGAGCCGTCACCCTTTGCACCATACTTTGTAACGTCGCGGAATAGCTGGTAGTTGGCGTTGTTGCCGAAAGCCGGTACACCCTTTCGCTCGATAGAGCCCATCCAGAAGCTTCCGCCTGCGGGAGCTTGTGCAACCGGTGCTGCGGAAGAGGATGTAGCAGAAAGAAGGACGTGCAGTGTGAGGAGGAGCGCTCCAGCGCTGATAGTTACCATGATAGCGGTAGGTAGATCGAAGTGGAAGTTTTTGAGAGTCCAAAAAACAGAGTGAAGGGACTGTTGTAGATAAAGTCGTCAGTGCCTTGCAAAGACGTGCTACCGCTATATTCTTGTTTGTTTGGTGCAGAGGAATATAGCGAAAAGTAGGGGTGGACTCTCAGGAATTGCGGACAGAAATTTATGGGGGAAGAGACTCAGTCTCAAGAAAAGGGGCTTCTTATAGAAGGCAATGAGCGTATTGTGAACAAAAGAGTGACAGTGGAAGAATAGAGAATATGGTCAACACAATACAATTGTCAAGCAACAACACAAAGGCTGCATAGGCAAGAGAGAAATGGAAGGGGGGCAAGCATTGCTAATATACAATTGAATACGAAGAGGGCTACTCACAATACTTGGGCGGGGGTCTCGCCAGCGTTTGTTTCCAAACGTCCCTGTTTCAAGTTGCAGATCGCCGCGATGTGCTGTTTGCTCTGTTCTCCAATGCTCTTCATCCCTGGCAACAGATATATATTTTATATTCGCATTTTTCAAGTTCTGCCAGCGCCTCGCTGCCTCGCCATCTCCATTCGCCGTCGCCGTCGCCGATCCATTCATCAAGCCATCATTCTCTTTTGCCTCATCATATGGGACTGTGGCCATACCTCCCCGTCGCTCTGCGGGTGTCTAGAAGCAATTGCAGAGAATGCAACCTTGTGGCTAGCGAGCCCTGATGGTGGTACCTAGACTAGCGCGACCGCTGGGAACAGGGAGTGTGGTGCGTGTCTTTCAATCTCTGGTGCCGCGGGTGAAACATCAGGTGGGCCGTGGCCAGTGATTGTGATATACCTGTCCGGGATCCTGTGAGGAGGTGTTGTTCGTTCCTGGAGGATTTGCCGATCAAGCGTCGTTTCAAGCCACAGCCGAGGCAGGGTCTGGAAGCTTTGAAACAGACTGCATGTCTCAGGCTACTCTTTGCCTGGCCTCATCTGGCAGCTAACTGGTCGCACTCGGACATATTTTATCTGCCAGCGCTTCTTCGCCAGACGCTGGCCACCAGAGGTAGGGCGGGGATAGGGCCAACTCGACGCAACAGGCCGCCCAAGATATCGTGCTGGTGTTTTTCTTGGATATTGGCCAACAAAAGCAGGGCTGATCGCGGAGTTCGCGACTTGTGTTCGTTAGTTAAACGGAGAGACACTCACCGACGGTGAGACCAGCCGAACTGGGCTGCTCATCAGTTGCCTCGGACAGATGACTTTGGAGTCAGAGCGATGCGGCCACCACATCCTTCATTTCACGATGAATGCGGGGCAGCTGAGCAAAATGAGAACCATTTTTTCAACGGCCTAACGGACAAAGGAAGCTGTTTAGAACAAAGCGCACGCTTTTTCAGTACCAAGAGCTTCACGACCCATCTCCAGCCACGGTACAGGATCATGTGCCAATCGGCGCATCACGACCAGATCCGTTGAGAAACACGTACCCCAGAAATGCCGGGGTTATCTTACAATTAGAGTGCACTTTTATTTCAGGAGTGACATACTGGCAAGGGCGTTTGATTTGAGGAGATCGTTGGGCGTGCATTATTAATGCTTCACTACCTTTGTTCACTTTTATCACCCAATGAAATCTACGCATGCATCCTTTGAGCTCTCCGGCGCGAATCATAGGCTCTTCATTCTATCGTTCCATAATTCTTCTTCGCAATGTGATGTGCTGTTAATAACCTCACATGCATCGGAAATAACAGCAGTACACGTAGGACAAATAACCTTGCTCCTCCTTCACCAGAAGTTTTTTGCGCCCCCACGATTTTCTGTAGCAAGCTGCATCGTTGAATTATTTTCCTTTTGGTCATTTTGAAGAGAACGAATGACACATGCAAGTCGTTCGATGCCCTCACCGAGAAGCTCGATGTCTTCCCATGCGAAGCACATTCTCAAGTCATATTCGAAATGAGCATGATCGGTATCTCCGGGAACCTAGAATGCGTTGGCATCTTCTAGAAGCTAGAAATTAGAGCTTGGGACGCCTCTTACCTCGAAAATTTCTCCTTGAGCAACGATGAGATTCTCCTCGTCTTTCGCACGTTGCGCTACTACAGCGCCTTTGAGCGGATGCGGAAGTGTTAGCCAAATGAAATATCCACCGACCACATCTCGATCTGTTTGGGGGACTGTACAACCCAACGGAATCAGCTCTTTGTTGATGGCGGTAATCATTTTGCGATAGCGTGCCCCATACGCTGGCTGGAGTGTTTCGTACACGTAGCGCTGGAGTTCACCGGATTCCAATGTCTCGGCCACGAAGGTGGCAGTCAGCTGGGAGGGAGAACCGCCAGACCGGCTTGTTCCTCTGTAACGACGTTAGCTGTTGTTTTGGGATGGGGCTTTGGGGCTTTAGATCGCCAGCCACAACCGTTGCACCAGGCCGCAGATCCAAATCACTCGTATGGTCAGCAAGTATCTCAGTTGCTCCACGTTGAAAGAGGCTGACGACACAGTCGTTAAGAGGGCAGCCATGTTTTGTGGCATGAAAATTTGAAAAGTCTTCCATACGTTTGTGACACCCCATACGCTAGTTTTTCAGTACCTTCGACCCATCCAGTCCTCAGTCCCGGACCACATATCTTCGAGAATGATCCGTTGGAGGCAGCATTGCCAAAGCCATCAGCGCCTTCTCTTTCGGCGCCGCCGTTGAGATACCTGTCGACATCGACTATCCGAGGCAATACAGCCTTGTCCAGAGACTGTGTCTGTGCACTGAGACTTGACGTCCACTGTAGGAAGTCGTACACATCATCTGTGATGATGAGAGCATCGTATTCCCTCGCAACTTTTACCAGCTCCTGCCTCCGCCTTAAAGTCATCGTCTTGAACGACGGGTTGGAGAAAGTTGGGACCGCATAGATGACATGTCGGTATATTTTCCCCCAAGCACGTTGTGGTTTAACATGCTAACAAATGGTTAGCGATGAAAGTAAAATGAGCCTTGCTGAATGGAGGTTACCGGCGCATTGTTCCCATCGGCACTCGCCTTGTCCTCGCTCTTCCTAATTTCTTTCTTTAGAAATTCAATATTAATACCTTCTTCGTCTTCGGGCACTGCACGGAGCTTCTGATGGAATCCGCTGTCGTCGAAAATGCGGAAAGCTAGCATATAAGCCGGCGAGACTATCCATACATTACGCGTATAAATTGGATCCGTGAAGACTTGGAGAAGGCATGCTAGATTCTGAGAGGCACCCCCCGTAATAGTAATTCGCTCTGGAGGTATTGGCGCCAGGGGCTGATAGAAGTTGGTTAGCCAGGACGCGACGTTTTTGCGTAAGCGCGGATCTCCCGGATCAGGACCGTACAGCATCCCCGGGAACGCAATTTCCTTGTTCGACAAAGCATTGTGAGATGCCTTCTCAATCAGGTGAGTGGGCAGTAGCGAAGTATTGGGCCAGCCGCGCAGGAGGTTGATAAGTTTCTTGGAGCTCTTCCGAGAGCCGCCAATATCCGAGAATGCCACCATAATTCTCTTCTACCTTGTAGCGAGTAAGAAAATTGAATAAATATTGACGGAGGGACAAATGCTGATTCAAGAGCTAGTGTATTAGGAGATTTTACCCTCAGCCTCAAGGGTCGGGTAGGATACGGGATAGTCTAAAGTGGGTGATTCGTATGTGGCGCCCAGTCCTTGTACCTAACAATGGATTACTGCTGGTCAGGTCCAATGCAAATGTCGTAGGGGCCAGAAACATGCGGCCTAAATAACGTTGGAGGAGGGGAGGCGCTTGTCTGATGACTGTGTGTTAGCAGAACCCATTTGCTCCTTGGAGAGCATATTAGTACAAGGAGGTAATCAAGCGGCGAATGAATGCTGGTGTTGAGTCTTCCGGCATGGGTGACGAGTGTTATCGATAAGGGACCGCGACGTCACTGCTGAGGCCATCTCAGTCGAATAGAATCAATGCCTTCACCAGCGTGGACTTGCTTAAAGAAGACGCGGCCGCACAGCTGCTCGGCTAGTTTTCTGTTCCACCGGTGGAAATATCTTCGATGATGCTGACCCATTGCTGCCGTGCGAGTCGCAGCGCACAGCTCTGTGAACTTTGGATTGCGTTCGCAAGGGTTCCAACAGAGAGATTGACATTCTAACACACACATGGCGGGCCGTGACGGCAAGGTGCCTGACTTTAAGAGGCACGGCAACTGGCCATGAAAAAGGCTTGTGTGAGATCATGGATGGAAACTGGGGCCTGTTTCCAGCTGCAAGGCGCAGGCCCAGAGGATGCGCTGTTCTCTGGCTCCATGACACCCAGTCGGGAGATCTTAACCTCCCGGCTGGAGGCTGACAGCCTGGTACTGCGAACTGTGCCACAAATATCTCAACATCGTCGTCAAACCCAATGAGCGGGCATGGCAGCCGTGAAAAGAAACAGACTCAGCGGTACTCGTGGCGCTACGAGGGTGAATGATTTGCGTGCACTCTGGGGCGGTCTAGCCCGGCAAGCGGCTCGTAGCAGGGGTCGGCGAAAATGACGACGCCGCAGCGAAGTGCATGGAAGGCCTCATTCAAAGCCAATCCATTGCCTCCGCCCTTGCTCCCGCACTCTGTACATAATAAAGCAAATCCACTAGGCTCTAGCTTTCCCACTCTTGACCCTCTCTCATACATGTTCCTCCAACGACGCCTGTTTTGTGCATGGCGCATTGTTTGTTATTGACGTCGCTCACCAAATAGATAATTTCTTCTTCCTCTGCCACGCAGTCCTATTTACTATATTCATCCTCCATCGCCATCATGGACCCCAGGAAGAAGCGTTCGAGCCATAGGCTATCGTCGTTGTTTTCCTCGTCGTCCGCTCCTGACCACCAAGACATGGGCTCCGCAGCATCCTCGGACTCAAGCGGACGACTCAGCAAGGCTGTCAAAAGCCGTGTCTCTTCTGCCCAACACCTCGCCCCTACTTACCCTCCTCCACCTGTGCCCGACTACGCCTTCCTCAAGCAACCTACTATCACACCTGTCAAACCCGCGCCTGCCGCTCTTCAACCCCCGCCTCCCCTCTCTTCCCCAGATTCACGAAGCGCTTCCCCCGCTCACTCAGATCTAAACAGTCGGCCTGGCACCCCTGACAATGGCAGCAGCCGGTTGACTCCTGCGGACGGGTTGAAGAAGTTGAAACGGCGAAGCAGGCTCTTTGGGGGCGGACAGAGTAGCGACGAGCAGGTTAATGTGTCCGGTCAGGGTCCTCTAGCCTGGGTGGTTGGGCACCGCGGAAAGGTTCCATACAACTTGGCTATGCTGTTGAATGGAGAGAAGGTATATTCTTCCACAAATCTAGTGACTACGGACTCAGGGATGTGCTAACAGTTGTTACTACAGGTGCCTGAGCTTTGGGATGAACAGGGCGATACTTTCATTTATCTTTTTCCCAGGAGCCACGGCAAGGGTCCCTCTTTCCGTGTAGATTCTTCCGTCTATGCGGCTTCCCAATACTTGACCCGACTCGCCCACGGTCGATTGTACAGTGATTCCATTCCTACTCAGAATCAACTGATTGACCGAACGCTTCGAAATTCCTCTGCCGGAAATCACCCTCCCTCAAGAACGGCTTCACCAGATCCAGCCTTCCCCGAAGGGAGTTCCGATGGCTCGAAGGGCTCGAGAACGTTGAGTGACGCTACGGAAGATGACCATTCAGAGATACACATTGTCTTACCCATCGCCCTCAGCACCGATAATTCTCCCGTAGCAGCCACTGGCAAGGAGCCACGGTTGACGGCCAAAGATATCGACACCTTGGTTGCTTATCGTAATTTCTTCGCATTTCTAATTGGCCAGTCTCTTGTTGCAACTGAGAGACACCCCGGTATATTTGAGATTTTCATGAGAATTGCCGACATCTTGCAAAGCTACCATTTTTCCAATGTCGATGGATCCACGTACGGTGAAGTTGCTGCATCCAGCTTTGACAGCTACGTTGAGGAGTTGAACCTCGCAGATGTCCGGTCCAGCCGCGAAAAGACGGTTGAAGCTATCGTTCTTGGTGAGCACATGCGATCCATGGGCCTATATACAGAAGGGTTCGTGCACGGCGTCGGCAAGTGGGAAGATATTAAAGCCCTTGAACATCCCAAGATGCAGTCAATTAGCCATAAGACACTGAACAGAATGGGCCGAGCTTCCATGGACCTTGACAATCGGGTGAAAAACATTAATGTGAAGCTGGGTAACTTTGATTTCCCTGCCTTGTTCTCTGGCCTCATGAATAGCGATACGTCGGACGAGAGGAAGGTCGTAAAGTTTAAGAGCTGGAGGACTGCTTTCATGGGGACGCGATCCTTTGTCCATGACTACTACAAGTCCAAATACGGCTCTTGGATCCCGAAAGCAAGGTCGAAGAAGAACGATTTAACAACGAGCGGCCTGAATCGTTTAGTCCTACGAGACATTTATGATGACATGTCCAACCTGTACGACTTGCTTGTAGATCGGACCAACCTTACAACTCGAACGGCTGATGGGTTCACCACTGAGGACGAGGCAACCGATTTTGAAGCCGTTGCTTATCGTGCTCTACGAAGAGTCATGAGCGAATATGATCGAAGCACACCGCCAGTGCAACCGCCGATTCCGTTCGACTTGCCAATGTATCCTTCGCTTAAAGGATTCAGGAAAGACTATCCATCCGGGGACGCAAAGAAAGATACGAAGGCGCGGAACAAAAAGCTGAAAGGAGATGAGATGGTCGCGATGGTCCGACAGTCGCACAATCTAGACTCCGAGCGACAGACGTCTTTCCTAGATGCTTTCCGCAAATTTGAGCTAAAACAAGCTTCTGGAAAGACCATGGAAGAGCTCTGGGAGTTGCGTACCGGACAGTGGCTGTTCTTGTATGCCGTTCTACAGTCTCTTCCGATGCTTGCCGTGGATGCACCCGGTGTAAGGTTTGCAGATGGGGTGGAGTACTTCCTCTGTGAGCCACCCAAATCTGGCGTTCCATGGGGACGTGACGATACGAACCAGACCCGAACCTGGTTTGGGGTCGCGGGAGGCTCTCAAGTCGTTAACCTTCCAGCCCACATTGTTGAACATGGTGTGGAAGGTATTTACCGTAGATCGCACTGTTGGAAGATGGCCGATGTATGGTCTCAAAATGACGCGGTGCTCAACGCAGCAGTTCACGAATCAATGGACGCAGCGCCGCTTCCTCCTCCACCATCCCTCCTTACACCTAACTCAGCCGTGCGGTCGCGATCACAGAGCCCTGACCGAAGGAGAGAAAGCGTGATGAATCTCGGCCTCGAAGCTCTCCCTCTGCCTGCTGGTGTCGCTCCTGCTAGTTCTCCGGCCATGCGACCGAAGTCAAGCAACGACCCGAACAAAACATTCGACGCGATTCTCTCCTCAAGTAACCTGCCCGAACAAAAGAATGGGAAAAAGAAGAAATGAGTTTATGGTTGTGTACAGACGCTTTGATGTAGGATATCGGGGATAATAAAAGCGAGCACTTGCATGTCTTGATAATCACGTTTAAATTTGGAACGGCGCACTGCATTGGTTAGCAACTGGATTTAATGCATTGGGTGCTATGACATTGGGGTAGCTCTCCATGGATGAATGTGGCTGTATATATTGCTTCGTGGCAAAAAATGCATAGTAGAGTGTTGTCAGGAAGACTAAGAAGTGCATATGTTTGATATAGAGATGAAGTTGTAAATATTTCATATCAATTTTCATATCCGTATCTCACCGTATTGCGTAGGGTTAGCTGCTCTGTAATGACTGTACCGATATAGCTCTGGAGAATTACGATGGTGCTCGAAGGAGGGCCTGTGCTCAACCTCACAGAAGAGTTGTTCAGATTCGGCTACCGCTACACCACTTCAGGAAAGCTGGAAGCTATCGCTATATGACCGTGCAATTTTCCGTTTTTCTGGTCAATTCAAGGTCATGGAAGGTGATATCTTGCCAGAAATTGTGCGCCTTACTCAATCTGACACTAGCGCGTCGCTGAGATGGCGCCACTTTTCCTCCCTTGGACTTAGATCTGGAATCTACTTTCCCTTCATTTGCCGGCCAGATACTTAGGAATGCTCCAGGCTCGAGCAGACCTTCTTCCATTCCTTTACGTACCTCAATTGCAACAACAACCTTGAGTTTCAACCTTGGAATCTCATTCGAGCACCTTACCACTGCACATCATGTTGCACTTACACATCATTCCCTTTCACATATTCTTTCATTTCATCTCATCACTTGAGGTCTTTCACCTCCATCTACCAAGAGGTATCACTTCTTCGCAGAACACCTTCAACTCTTGGGTCGACACCTCGCCTTCTCAACTTCTCAACTTACCCTCATATCACATGGAGCCTTTTCAGGCTTCGTCCACCTTTAGTTGTTTCCGTTGACACCTCATCTTCTCAACTTCTCAAACTACTTTGGTTTTATATGATATGAAGTCTCATCCAACCCATCAAGAGTTTGTACGTTCAATGAATGGGTCCCCTCAATCAAACATTTCGTAGCTTTCTACTTTGCTACTCCCTCTTCTCAATCTTCGCGTTGCTTCTTCATCCAACCGCGCTCTCAGCTCCTACATTTGTGGTATTCTACTCCACTCGACATCACTTCATCTCTGAGCAGCAGCAGAATCATATTATCCTTCACTCAAACTGACAAATATTAACTACTGGTTGCACTCTATATGGCAGCATGTATGTGCTCAGGTTAAGGATAGAGCTACTCAACAAATATTTATTTGATTGATGAAATGGGTTTATTGGACTGTATCTGGCAGTAGGTAGTGATTAGGTCACGGATAGAACGACACATCAAAGCCTGGAAGTATGGACTGGTCCATGTTGCATACTAGCATGGGCTTTGGATGCATGAATGGAACGAGGTCTAGAAGCAAGGGAGTCATTGATGCCTCAGATTTTGTATATGGACTGAATAAGTTTGGGTACGAGGAATTTAAGTAGAATCTACGGTGGATTGGGCAATTCATGAGTGCATGGCAGCATGGAAGCATGGTAGCATGAAAGTATGGAAGCATGGAAGGAAGTTTCCTAGCATGAACTTGATGGATGGGACTTGTATGAAGATGTAGAAACAGGTGAATGGATGATGTTTCAACTAAGGAAATGAGTAGCCTAACAATAAAAGCGTCGAACAACACCTAGCCTTCTCTTCTCTGCTTTTGGAGGAAATGCTGATGTGCATTCATCAACCCAACTCCGTCTCTAGCGGGAATGTGCTGATGTCTACCTTCCGTTCTTCTAAGCTGGCTTACAGAGATGTTGTGGCATGTTAGATGTTATTTGGGTGACGGCAAGGTTGAATAGTTCGCTTACCCGCTTTTTTTGACACGGCGTTCGACGCCCGTGCCGGCTGTCACACCGCCAATGACGGCGTGGTTCCGATATTGTCATCCTCCTTACAAAATTTCGAGCTTCGAGATTCGAGCTTCCTCCTTTTACACGCGAGCTGCCCACGTTGAGCAGAGCGTAAAACTATCCCATTACATCAATTGACTACCCTCTGCCGATAGGTGCTCGCGAACCCCACAATGACTTCCTCATTGCCTGGCAACCGCGACCTACCCGTTTCCCAGTACGATCTGAGCACTTATTGGGGACGGGTAAGACATTCCGCAGATATCTCAGATCCCAGGTGAGTCAGCATCATAAAGAACATTCTCTTGCTTCTCCTAAGTGTGGTGAGTATCACGATCATTAATTCTCGTCGATGTAAATACAGGATCGTTGATGCGACAATGCTGACGGCTCGCGCCATAGAACACTCCTCACCTCCTCGGCCGGACTTGATCATGCAAAGCAACTCGTCATCGCGTACAAGCAGGGGGAGATACAAGAGATGACGCCAGGGCTATGGAAAGCGAAGAAGATAATCGACTCGACGATACATCCAGGTATTGGTCACACGAGCAATTGAAAAGTGTGCCAGGGAAGTCCGCTGACCAGATGCAAGATACTGGACAGCCTGTCTTTCTGCCTTTTCGAATGTCGTGCTTCGTCTTATCTAATCTTGTTGTCACGGCGGGGATGCTAACGCCTGGACTCGGGGTACACACTACACAACAGCTGAGCATGGGAGCTTCGCTAAGATATTTCAGACTGCAGGAACGTTGGCATGGCAAGTCACGAACCAGTCTCTCAACGTCGCGATCAACTTTTCCAACGCGAACAAATCAAGCCCGCTTTCCACCCAAGCCATCATACAATCATACTGTCTAGCAGTCAGTGCGTCATGCGGCGTCGCTGTCAGCCTGAACGCCCTTGTGCCTAGATTGAAGCGCCTGTCTCCAAACGCGCGGGTGGTACTCGGCCGCCTGGTACCGTTCGCTGCTGTGGTTAGCGCGGGTGCTCTGAACGTGTTCCTCATGCGTGGGGAGGAGATTCGTCGGGGGATTGACGTCTATCCGGTGCTGACAGATGAGGAGAAGCGAAGAGTCGAGGCCGGGGAGGATAAAGTGAAGCCATTGGGAAAGAGCAAGAAAGCCGCGACACTGGCAGTGAGCGAGACCGCATTCAGTCGAGTCATCAATGCGACACCGATCATGGTCCTGCCACCCCTCATTCTAGTCAGGCTGCAGCGTTCTGAGTGGCTGAAGAGGAGGTCTAGGATGACCACGCCCGTGAATCTGGGTATGTATGCAGCCAGCTGGGGAGGAGTATCGAAGCTAATGAATATTGCACTTAGGTCTCATCCTCACAACTTCAATCTTTGCTCTACCCCTCGCACTCGCAGCATTCCCTCAACGTCAAACTATCAGTGCCAAGTCACTTGAGGCTGAATTCCATGATTATGGTGGGAAGGACGGGATGGTAGAATTTAACCGTGGCATATGATGGAAATGTGGGACTTCCGTTCATATATAGAATAGAACTGGTGATCGGGGGGGGCCTGGCGTATATTAGAACTTGGCGGCAAGCTTCCCGTTAAGCCATCGGAAGGACACGTATAGAGGGAGGGAACTCTTCGACCTTATGGAAACACCCCAGGTCGTCATGACTAAGGAGAATAAATGCTTCTGATTGGTCAACCGCCGAGGTTAACTCTCAGAGTACAAAGTCGAGACGAAACCAGAGAACAGCTTCAATTCTCCTAGAATTAGTTCTGCAAGCTTCAGGCGGGTGACTACTTGACTCATCATTGTAGCGATAATTCTTTCGTGGCCTAAAGCGGGAGGCTGGGCTACGGTCAATGTGGCCTCTTGTCTCGACAAAAACGCCAGGTGGTCTGAAGCTCCACGACAGGGTAGCTCTGACATTTATTTCAGACCTCACCTCCGCGCCGCACATGGTACTTTGATGTGCAATCATCCTTTTACTGGGATCGACGTCCCGTTCCTTTCTTTTGACGCCTGATTTTCTCGTCTTTTGTCTTTGACAGACGCCTTTGATCTCGAGGGTCGGCTCTGCCAATCTCGCATCCCACCTTGCCACCCCCTCTCACAGAAATTCTACAGCCGCATTCTCAACGCACAATGGCACCCCCCGGGCGCCGGAGAGCTTCTCCCTCGTCCTTCGCGGTTCTGCTCGGCCTTGTCTTCCTCTTCTCGTCGACCGCATCCGCCGCGTCCGCCGTCCTGGGCATCGATCTCGGAACAGAATACATCAAAGCGGCGCTCGTGAAGCCGGGCATCCCGCTCGAGATCGTCCTCACCAAAGACTCGAAGCGAAAAGAGGCCTCGGCCGTTGCTTTTAAACCCCTGAAAAGCGGAACCCTGGCCGCTGACTCCTTCCCCGAGCGCTTCTATGGCTCTGATGCTGTGGCTCTCGCCGCTCGGTTTCCGGGCGATGTTTACCCGAATTTGAAAGGGCTGCTGGGTATACCAAGAGAGGGCGATGCGGTGAAGGTTTATACGGAGCGATATCCAGCGCTTGAGGTGGTGGAGCTAGAGGGCCGTAAGACGGCTGCGTTGAAGAGCGGCATCTTCGCCGAGGGAGAGAAGTCCTTCTCTGTAGAGGAGCTGCTGGCGATGGAGCTGAAGAATGTGAAGGAGAATGCGAAGGCGCTGGCGGGTAAGGGGACGGATATTCAGGATGTCGTGTTTACGGTTCCGCCGTTTTATACAGTGGATGAGCGACGGGCGCTGGAGGTTGCGGCCAGACTTGCAGGCTTGAAGGTCTTGGGCATGGTTTCGGATGGATTAGCTGTCGGCATTAATTATGCTACTAGTCGGACTTTCCCTGTGGTCAATGACGGAGGCAAAGCCGAAGTCCACTTGGTGTTCGACATGGGCGCTGGGTCAGCCTCTGCGACTGTCCTGAAGTTCCAGGGCAAGACGGTCAAGGATATTGGAAGGTTCAACAAGACTATTCAAGAGGTACACGTTCTCGGCACCGGCTGGGACAGGACTCTAGGGGGCGATTCTTTGAACATGCTTCTCGTCGACGACATGATCTCGTCCTTCGTTGAGCTTCCTGGCGCAAAGAGCGCAGAGCTTACTACAGAGAGGATCAAGACCCACGGACGGACCGCCGCGAAGCTCTGGAAAGAGGCAGAGAAGGTTCGCCAGGTTCTTAGCGCCAACACGCAGACGTCCGCCCTTTTCGAGAGCTTCCTCGATGACGTCGATTTCCGATACAAGGTCACCCGCTCCAAGTTTGAGGAGCTCGCTGCTAATTTTGCAGCTCGAGTGGACGGACCTGTCAACCAAGCGCTGGCGACCGCCGGGCTTACCTTTGCGGACATTGACTCTGTCATTGTTCACGGTGGTGCATCTCGCACTCCATTTGTTCAGAATCGTCTGGAGACACTCGCTGGCAAATCCAAGATTAGGGCCAACGTCAACGCCGATGAGGCAGCCGTGTTCGGTGCTGCTTTCAAAGCTGCTGGTCTCAGCCCGTCTTTCCGCGTCAAGGAAATCCGTGACATCGATACCCAGGGATATGCGCTCGGTATTCAATACATGTTCAATATCAAGGATCGCGACCAGAAGATCTTCACGCCGACATCGAAGATTGGAGCTACCAAGGATCTTCCATTCCAGATGATGGGCGAGTTTGAGTTTACCATGTATCAAGCTGTGCCTGGTGGCGCAGAAGAACTCGTCAAGTCGCCAGCCCTTCATTTCAAGAGTGGAAACTTGACTAGACAAGTCACGAAGATGATTGATACGGATGGATGTGACAGGGAGACTTTCAACAACTACGTCCAGGTCAGGTTGAGCCCTGTTACCGGTGCCCCTGAGGTTACCTCTGCCTGGGTTACTTGCGAGGCTGAGGTGGAAGAGACCAAGGGTGGTATGATGGAGGGCGTCAAGAACCTGTTTGGTATGGGTGGCAAGAAAGACCAGGAACCCTTAAAGGAGGCCGAGAGCTCTTCTTCAGAGTTACAGTCCGCTATATCCTCCGAGTCTTCGTCTTCATCTACTTCGCCATCTACCTCCTCAGATCCAGAAACAACGGAAGCGGCAAAGTCTGGTGGGAGCAAGAAGAAGGAGGTCAAGTCCTCAATCACATTCCATGTTACGCAGCAAGGATACGAAAAGCATCCACGCAAGGAATTTAAGCGGATGCAAGATAGGTGAGTCGACTCTAACGAGTTCACGCTAGCGTTTACTGACAGTATTTAGACTCTCTGCATTTGACTCCTCTGATCGCGCACGTCGTGTCCGTGAAGAAGTCCTCAACTCCCTCGAAGCCTTTACCTACCGTAGTCGCGACCTCCTTGAGAACGAAGACTTTATAGCTGCATCCACAGACCAGGAGCGCTCCACGCTGGAGGAAAAGCTCAGCGCATCTTCCGATTGGATCTACGCCGAGGGTCACGACGCCACAGAAGACATTTTGAAAGCAAAACTAAAGGACCTCGAAGCCCTCGTAAACCCCATTCTCAAGAGGAAAGATGAGGCCGCAAAGCGACCCGAAGCCATCAAGACCTTCCAAGAAGCCCTCGACAGCTTGAAGAGCATCATGCCCATGGTCAAAGAAACTATTGAAAAAGCCGCAGAAGCATCCAAGAGCGCCGAAGAAGCCAGCAAATTCGCAGCATCGGCAACTTCGTCTGCCGCGGAAGCCGCATCTACCACTGCCGACCCGCTCGCGGATCTAGAGGAAGAAGATATGCTCAAACCGTCGAACTCTGGGACTGCGGATTCGCCTGTGCCGACGTCGCCGCTCGATATCTATACTGCTGATGACCTCAAACTTTTAGAGGAGAAGGTGGATAAAGCAAAAAAGTGGATGGAGGAGAAGCAGGCGGTGCAGAATAAACTGAAAGAAAGTGATGACCCTGCGTTCAGTGTTACGGATCTTCAAGATCAGACGAAGAAACTGAATGATGCGGTTATGGAGATGATGATGAAGAAAATGCGCGCGATGCAACAACCTCCGAAGCCGAAGCCTAAGCCTAAGCCCAAGACTAAGAAGCCGAAAAAGCCGAAGAAGCCGGCTAAGGACGATAAAGATAAGGCCGAAACCAAGGAGGAGAGGAAAGCCGCCGCTGAGCCCTCGGACGAAGAACTCAAAGAAGCGCTCGAAAAGGCGGGCATCAAGGGCGAAGGCGTGAAGCTGAGTAATATCGGCGATAAGAAGGAGCTTAAGGATAAAGGTGGCAGGCCGCTGGTCAAGCTAGATCTAGGCGAGGATGCCACAGAGGAAGATATCATGGAGGCGATTGAGAGGGCGACGAGAGAAGGGAGGGAGAGGTTGGAGAAGGAGAAGGAGGGGAAGCGCCATGATGAACTGTGAGGAGTGTGTGGGATGGAAAAGAAAGAGTATCGATGGAAGGGCATAGATATGGTGTGAGTATTAAGGTGTATACGTAGCCAGTAGACAGCATGGGTAGGAGTTTATGGGATATAGCTACTTTTTTTTTAGGAATATGTGGTGTGGTGCTATGCTTGTAAGAGGATCTCAGTATGCACGGATACTGTATCACCTTTTTCTCCGAAACATTTCAGTTAATTTGAAATTCAAAGCCTGTTTTAGATATATTAGTACAGAGTAATATTTCAAGTAAGAACTGCAGCGTTACAGGTCAAAATCGTGCAGTCGTATCTGTAGTGAACAAAACGTCCAGCAGCATTCGAAACATCTCCCTTCCATTTACCCACCTCGTGGTGCACATCAACCACCACAACAGGCCAGATGCTAAAATCCTTAGAAAACAATATAACGTGTATCCCTGCGACAGGAGCCACTCTGTGTGGCGAGCCAAATGAGGGGTACTTTGACTTCAGCGAGCTCAAACATCGTGCGCACAGCCTGTGCAATTGTGGCTCTATTAAAATAGGGAGCTATAGCCAATCCTAAATCTCCACAATCCATTCTTCACCAAAATTACATGCAAGTTATTGTCTCTAGGCCTAGTTTGTACAGTGCCTTCTTTAAGGCGTAGCATGCTTCCCTTTCTATAGCGCCAACATAAAGTCCTTATTGCTCTAAATTCTATAACATACTTTATAGGCAAGTTGCTTACACACCTAAGTTGCTTACTTTTGCTAAGACCTTACTAAACTACTTTTTTTATACTAATACATTTCTAATAACACTACTTAAATATGCTAAAAGAATATTAAATATAGCTTATACTTTAAGCTTTTAAATAAAATATAAAACTTTTAAAAAAATATACTACAGCTATATATAAAGTTTTATAAAAAATAATAAATAACTATAGCATGTTTTTTTAAAAGTTTTTTATTTTATTTAAAAGCTTAGAGTATAAGCTATATCTAACATTTTTTTTAGCACATTTAAGTAGTAGTATTAGAAATGCATTAGTATAAGAAAAGTAGTTTAGTAAAGTTTTAGTAAAAGTAAGTGTAAAGATGGGATGGTAGGTAGCACCAGGGTTGCCACTTTATAGTAATTACTATTTTTAAAATAGTAATTACTATGTTTTTAAAAACGTTATTATTACTTAATTACATAAGCTATAATTCTAAAAATTAATATATAGATGCTAAGTAAACTAGTCTATAAATCTATAAATTTAAATTCTAAAAATTATATTTAATACATTTATAATAAATAAAAAAGAGAGAAAAAAAGGAGAGAAAAATAGTAATTACTATTACTATTACTATATCTGCTTTTTTTCTCTTTTTTTCTTTATTACTAGGGATACAAATTTATATAGTAGAATCTAATCTTATATATCTATACTTTAGTATACCTAGTATCTAAGTTTAGGTTTTTAGAATATTAGCTAATGTAATTAAGCTGTTATAGACTTTTTAAAAAAATAGTAATTACTATTTTAGAATAGTAATTACTATAAAAGTGGCAACCCTGGGTAGCACGGATAGCACTAAGAGCAAGCTTTTGGAGAAAGATAGGAGTGTATTGTAAGAGAGACAAATCGCTGCCAAGCTTCGCTTGTTAGGATTCATGCTTATATACAAAGCACAGGTCATACAACCTCTAAACAGGTTAGGTGAGGCTATACTAGCCTGTTCTAGAACATCTAGCCTTACATTATCCCCTCTTATAGTAGTCCTATAACTTAGAGAATAGAACAGATAACAATAGGCCTAAGTAGCATAAAAAAGTGTTATATAATGCTTTAAAAACTTACTTCTGCTTATTTTAGTTAATTTTATGTAAGTTTATTTAAAAATAACTTAGAGTTATTAGGTAAAAGTAAAGTAAAAGTATAAAGTAAAAGTAAAAGTAAAATAGCAGTATATCTTACACTAATAGAGTAGCAGTGAGGACAGTATATATAAAGTCTAACTATTCTAGAAATCTATTTTCTTTATACTTCTACTTTTTTTATAGCTTAGAATTTAGAAGATTTTAAACTTTTTAAGGTAAGTATATTTTAAGCTACTTTAGCATAATCTAGTGTAAAGGGGTGCTAACAAGCTTTAATAGTCCTATCTTACTCTGCTTACGCCTACCTGTTGCCTAATCTGCTTTTAGCTCCTTCTTTTATGCTTAACTTTACTTAATAACTCTAAAATAAACTTTTATAGCCTACTTTATTATAATTTAGCTATAGTTTTTTTTTAAAAAAAATTAATTAGCTTTTACTAATATAAACTTGCGCTCTAATAACTTTTATGTCTAATGTGTTAATAAAATGTCTTATAAGAGCATTACAGATAAGAGTAGTAGCTATTATATACTTATAGATAATAAGTTATGTTATAGCATAAAAAAAGAGAAAATTAAGTATACTAAGTATACTTATTACTTTAAATTTAGTAAGAAGTGCTTTAAGGTGTGTATTTTAGCTCTTTCTAGCGTATTTACGCGCAGTCTGTCTAGGCTAACCCTAGATAGCTCTCTATTACTTTTAAACCTAAATAATAAGCTTTTAAAGACACTGTGCTTAATATTTTAGCTTTTATTAATCTACTTAACCTTACTTAGTTAGCATAGGCTAATGTAATAGTTATGTTATAAGTAAACACTATTATTTAGTTCTTTTAGGTGTAAGTCTTTCTGTTGCAGCATAATCTAGCTTAATTAGCCCTATTCTAGCTTTTAATAGTTTACAGTAAAAATAAAATCCTGTACAGTAGGTGCTAGGAAGTGATCATCCTCCGCACCGTGCGCAAGCGAATACGATCTGCCCACGCAGTTTTCTATAAGGATTTTAGGGATAGATTGCAATTAAAAATTAAAGCTTTTAATTTATATAATAGAATTAATAACAGAGAATCTTTTAGAGTAGCAATTATTCACTAGCAGGTGGAGCCTCCCTGGGCAGCCCTAACGTCAGCGACGCGCTAGAGCATGGATAATATACACTTCTGCTAATCTTCTAGCTTTAACCTATCTTACTCCTTTTTTAGGATAGACTCTATCTCTTTAATATTACTTATTTAGTGTCTTTTTTTTAAAATCTAAATCTTTATAATGCGCTAGAGGTTCTTAATAGGATTTAAATTAGAACTTTATGCTAGCTACACTATATAATCTATGCAAAGCTTTTCTTAGAAACCTGTAGTTATCTTTAACCTATAGTATAAAGCCCTATCCTCTTGCTATAATGTAATACTGTGTTTTTTAAAGACTTTAGCATAAAATAGCTGCGTGTAAGTAGCTAAGACTTTATTATAGTATCTTCTTAAGTCTATCTACTTACTTTAAGGCAGTATAACTAGCTCTAACTTAAAATCCTAGGATATAGCTGCTTATACTCTAATAGAGCTTCTCCTACTCTTAAAAGTAGGCTTTAGGTATTAAGATTTATACACATATAATGCTCCCTTCTTCTACTTGCAGTATTAGGTGGTAGAGATAAGTCCTACTTTAAAAGTTAATTTATTAGAGAAGTAGACATATTTAAAGTTGTTATTATTTTAAGTTTTTATGTAGGCACCTTAGCAACAATAATTAAGCTTATAGGAGGGCTTAAAGTAAGGCTTAGCGCGTAGTTTAAATGTGTAGTACTTGTTTTTTTATAGGTATTACTTTACTATATTAACGTAGATTGCAGTTGTTGTTTTTCTAGAAGTAGCAAGTACTTTATATGTTTTAAAGAGAAACTGCTTTAAGTATTATACTAATTATTACTTTACGCGTTTATTAAGCTTTAGGGGTTTCTCTATGCAACAGGCCTTTTTTTAGGGCTTATTCTTACATTTTTGCAACTACTTAAGTATTAACTTAATTAACAGAATTAGAATAGAAAAAGTCTTCTATATCTTTAAAAGGCTAAAACTAATACAAGAGAGCGCCTAGATGCTAGTAAGGGTAAGCTTATTATATTTACAGCAAGCAGTTTTAGGTTGGGAAGGCATAGTAGTAGTGTGGAGAAGGAGGAGAACAAGTGGTGCGGAAAATTTTGAGGTGTGTGGGTTGACCCGATATAGTAAGTTAAGCGAGAGGATGATGACTTCTTAGCACCTATTGTACAACAACTATCTATACGCGCACAGTGGCGTTATAGGTAAAATTACTAAGACTAGAGTTATTTTTAAAAAGCGCGCCTACTCTAAAGCTAATATTGCTAAGAAAGAGGAGAAGAAGTGTAAAGTGCTTAAAAAAAACTTTAATAAAGATAAAGCTATAATAACTCTATTTAAAAAAGTAAGTGTGCGCTATTCTTAACTATTCTAGCGCTAACTAGCATAATAAAAGAAATATAGTATTAAAGGTGTCTATGTTACTAAAGCTAAGCAACATTATTATGTTAATGCTGCTAAAGCTGCTAATGTAATCTGCTGTGTCTTTAAAGAGCATAATAAGGCTAATAATATTAGAAATAAAGCTAGTTAGGATTAAACCTTAGCTAAAAAGAGGTAGCTAACTAGGTATAATAAGAAATATTCCAATAGTTGTTCTACTGTTGCAAATTTACCTACAGAGGACCTTAATGTCTAATCTAGGGCTCTAATAGCACAATCTAGTGTAATCTAGCGCATCTTATAGTAAAAATAGTTAAGAATGCATAGTATAGTGTAGTTTTAGGTTCTTTAGCTTAAGCTTTTTTTTTTTTTTTAATAAAGTTAAATACTTTTATATTATGTCTCTTAGACTTAAAGTGTAACTTTTTAGTAGTAATAGATTAATCTGCCTCTAGCTTGTTTACTTTATAGCTCTTTTATCCTAAAATTTTTAGAATGTTTTGCTAGACTTAAACTTTACTTTTTTTTTGCTAGTATAAGTTATTTTAGGCTAGAATGTTTGTTTCTTTTACATAATAGATTTTTTTAGGTTAAAATAACTCTCTTCTTAACTCTAGCAAGCTATTCTATGCTAAAATAGCCTTACTTAGTCTAAATAAGAAATCTTAGGTTTAAATAAGCTATGTTGTTTTTTTATTTTTATAGCGCTATTAAACACCTCTTGTTAAAAAAACCTTAAGTAAGGAAAAAATAAAGTAAAAGTAGCTATACTTAATTTATTAAGTTACTTTTTTTTTTCTAAGAAGTTTAACTTAAACTAGCATAATTTAATTTTTTACTATGTATTTCTTTGCTTTTTTAGAACACTTTTAATGTGTTTAAGCTAATGTTAGGTTTAAGTTTTTATAAG